AGATCACCGTTTCCCCGGATTACGTCGTACCCGTTTCCGGGTACTTACCAAAAGTCGTCCATCTTTTTCGGGTTCAGCCTCTGGCTATTTTCCCGGTATTTTTGTGTTTTGTAATCCGTTTTGCACTATGTTTAAAACCCGCTGCTGTTTTAGTTGACTATCCTGCAAGTAACAGCTTGTCGGTTTTACCTTATAATACTTGTTTCCCTCTTTTGCAAGCAGCATGTCGGAATCCATTAATAACGGCGCTAACGGGTCTTCGGCCGCATTGCTCAGCGAATCTAATGCTGTTTGCGGCAGCGTGCCCTGTTCAGAGCCCGCGACGGACGAGTCTGGTAGCATGCAGTGCTATGTATGCAACTGCTGGTACCATGAGATCTGTACCGATTTGAGCCCTTATCAGTACGTACTGCGCTCGACTAGCGATTGAATGCTGTTCAATTGTTTTCTTTACCCTAGCCGTCGATATACGAGTCTTGGGATCACTGAGGAGACAACGAGCAACCTCGGGCTGGCTAACCAGCAAATGTGGTCATTCCTCATACCTCGTGCTCCTAAAGTGGAATTACTGCTGAGGGAAATGGAGGTCCCCATTGATGTCGGCTGATTGAAGGAAAACGCAACTAACCACAATTGTCTCGGGGAAAATCCGACTGAGGTGATGGCTACAGTGTCGTGTGCACCAGCGGTCCAGAATGCCCTTAAAGTGGCCTCTGATGTCCTACTGGAAGCTTTCCAAAGCGAGACCGAACCTATAGCCCTTATGCCTAAATAAAGCAAGAGGAACAGGGCTAAGCACGTCCCTCAGGCTCTCACAAAGCCTGAAGGTACTGAAGCCATTAAATTATTGAAGATGGAGCACAGAGCTCCAACTCCAATCACCCCAGTTCCATTGGCGAAGAAACACGACGTGTCGACGTCGGCCACACTCGCAAAGTCTGGATAGTCTAGACCGGAAGGGAGTTGGGGGTAGAACACAAGGCCTCAACCTCACGTACTCCAGCTCCCTTGGCGAAGAAACGCACAGTGTCACCTGCCAAACCAGTCGAAACTGGGTTCGAGTCCAAGGCTCGTAGAGTGAATACGTCCCGTCGAGGTGATCCTTTTCGGAAAGTAGCGTTATCTTTCTTAGCGTTGCTGAATCCGCGGCAGCTCTTCCCAAGGAACGGATGCTGGATGACCTCCAGTGGTTCAAGCTCTTCGTCAATAAGATACTTCGATCTGATATCCCCGGTGTCCCCATCAGGAAGCTAACCAGATTGGTGAACGTCACTGAAGATACGCCGAATCCGCGACCCCGACTGTTTCGTGTAGTCCTCCCAACCCCGGAAGAACGCCAAGCGTTATTGCCCTTTGCATTCAAAATCAAGGGTAGTAATGCCAGCGTTCAGCCGAACCTCCCACTGGCAGGTCGACTGAAGTTACAGGAAACCATTGAAAGCCTCAAAGGAAGGTGAGCCTCTGGTGTGCAACGCCTTCGTCTTGTGGACTTTTACGTGGTCAGCCGAAGTCAAATTCTGCCCTACCAGAACCCCTCATGGTAGCCTACGACCCAGAGCTGATTGTGCCGAGTTCCTTCCGGTAGCGTAAGGAACAAGGTACACGAGGTGGATCTAGTTGTACGCAAATCTTGTCCCGGCATACTAGCTAGCACCGAAACATGGTTGTCCCCGGATATCACAGACAGTGAAGTAAGTCTACTTGGCTACGCATCGCTTAGAGGTGATTGCTGCGTTGGCCGCCATGGTGGGGACGTCGCTCTTTATGTGAGTTTTAAACTTTTGGTGTTGCGGATCTGTGTGTTCCACCTGCTGGATCAAACGGTTGAAGCCCTGTCGAATATTGTGTGCACTTGCTTTGTTCAGTTTACAATTGTAATGGTATATCGAACACCTGGACGTATCTCCAGGGAGGTTATTGAATGTATTCGTACTCAGGCTGGCAATAGGTGTCTAATACTGGGTGAATTCAAAAACCCGGAAGCCTTCTGGGCTTATCTATATTACAGTTCGGCGTTGGACTCTTTCTGTTCGGATCTCTTTGAGCTAACATTGCAACTGCCTCTGCAGCAGGTCTTGGACCACCCGACTAGATATATGAGCAAGCAACTTCCGTCTACCTTGGATCTCATTTTTACGAAGTCACGCGATTTGGTAAGGGATATTACCTACAGCTGTCCTCTAGGAGCCAGTGACCATGTCTGCATATACCTTCGAGGTGCTCCAAGTGTTATCAAGCTACCGCTGAGGCATGTCCACCTATTTGGCAGACAGACTAACGCAATACGAGACAAAGCTCCAGTTCCGCGTTGCTCGATCACCTTGGCTGACACCGTTGAGACAGCTTGGGAGAAAGTTAAGGCATGCTTCACCGGGATCTTTGCCCCTCACCTCCCACCCATTAAGAGACAGGCGCCACATGCGCAGCCTCCTTGGATGCAGCATACAGGTAAATACCTGCTAAGGAAGCGCTATAATTGCCGGCTAAAGTACCAAGCGGCTTCATCAACCAGCACCTACGAAAGCTATCAAGCGGTTAGTAATAAATGTAAGGAACCTCTTAGAACCCTTCGTTTGCAGTACAAGGAGGATTAGGCTAACGGAGCTGTAACAAATCCAAAGAAGTTCTTTGCTTACGTACAGAGACGCAGCGGTACAAACTCCTCTATACCGGCTTTACTATGAGCGGACTGGACACAAGGGCACGTGGACTATGGTAATGCTTGTATACTTAGCGAATAGTATATTGGTTTTTTTCTCCTGAGACCTGTCTACCACAGGTTGAGCCGGTCAAAATGGTCCAGAATGATTTTTGCCTAACTGAAATCAGCATAACGGAGACAAAGCCTTCGGGTTATTGCAAGGGCTTAATCCCACAAAAGCTTCTGGCCCTGCTTCAATTCATCCGAAGCTAACGTACGAATTGACCGCTGAGCTAAGTGGCCTACTGACATGCAGGTTTACAATATGGCTCGACAGCTGTGCCTTCGGAATGGAAGAAGGCAATCATCCGTCCGATTTTTAAGGGCGTGACAGAGCTCTGCTCGCGAACTACTGGCCTGTGAGTTTGACAAGTGTAGCAGTTAAGTTGTTTGAATAATCGGTCAGGGATTCGGTGAAGGGTCACGTGATTAAGTCACACCTTCGCAGTGCGGCACAGCACCGATTCCGTTAGAGATTATCATGTCTGACAAATTTACTTGTGCCTCGTGCAGGCTGGGCTGAGGCAGTAGACAGCGGTTACGCTATTGATGTGCTTTTCGTTGACTTCTAGAAATCCTCTGATAATGTCCCACATCAACGACTCGCATTAAAGTTGAGATCGTATGTGATATCTGGAACCGCCCCTTACTTGTTTCTGCTTTCACAGAGGGGAGAGAACAGGGTGCACAGGTGGGGCATAGCCGTTTGCTTAGACAAGCTACTCTTAGTGGCGTTACGCAGGGCTCGGTCCTAGGGCCGTTGCTTTTCGCAGTTTATGTCAGTTACCCACTCCAGGAGATTTAAGCACTGTCGCTATTGTTTGCTGCTGACTTCATGCGCTGGAATATTGTGGATATTCCTGGGGGCTCTGCGGCACTTGAGAGTGCCTTGGATAGGCACTGGGATTGATCAACATTATGGCTGATGCCTAGAAATCAGGCGAAATGTTCTGTCCTTCCCGGTTAAGGTGCTAGTGCCCTCACGCGCAATGTACTTAATGGTAGTGAACTCTCTGTTGTCACTCAGCCGGGTGATCTAGGTATCACCCGTACCTCATTGCTTCACTCTAGGGACAATTGGAGGAAGGCCGCTTGTAGAGGGTTCCGTATGATGTGGTTTATTCGCAGCTCCTTCAAGGCCCTAACGGCCAATACTTTTGTAAAACTGTTCTCAACGTTTGTGCGACCCCACTTAGAGTACTGTATCCAGGCTTGTCCACCTTGTCTTGTAAGGGAGCAAATGGAACTGGAGAAGATTTTGCTGGTGGGCACAAGGTTAGTGCAAGGATTACGGAGGCAAACGTATCCCGAACGTTTGCTTATTTTGGGTATGTACTCAATTCACTACCTCAGAAGCAGAGGAGGCTTGATCGTCACCGTATCCTAACGGGTAAGATTGGTCCAGACTTGTCCTGGCTATTTAGTTCCGCCAAGCTGCCTCGTCTCCGAGGACACCCGTTGAAACTGCGCAAACTGCCTTCTGACAGGGTAAGGAGGAACCTCACTTGTCGGGCCGTTATTGAACGTTGAAACTGGTTTCCGGAGCATGTCGTTAGGGAGTTTATGGTAGAGGGTTTCGAGCGTCACTTAGATGTGCCCGATTGGCAGTACCAAACCTTCCCCTTCTCCTAGCCGACTTGTATCTTTAACTTACGTTCAATTTAAATTGCTTCCTGCGCCTTGTTGTTATCAGTATTTAGCTGACATTCCTCCTCTTGTTCTCTTAGCTTACCCGTCACTCTTTTACTTCACGTAAACCGGCCTAGCAGGGACCGCTGGGCAGGAAAAGGTGTGCAGTAATTGATATGACGTGATGCGGTCTCTGTTTTAGGCTTTTCAACATCTCAAGCAGGCCTAACAATTCCCTATACGACAATACGCAAAAAAGGAATTTACACCGGATTGTCCTATTGTTCGGTTCTCAACTGGACTTGTACTTGTACTTGAGTACGAAAGGCGGCGCACCCAGCCTTCGAATCCCACCCGCTCGGATGACCATCAGCCATGCCACCTTAGATTATACGGTTGGTATTTGTTGCTTATAAATTAGCTAAAAGCAATCTGTTGGTGAAACGTCAAAGCAGGTTGCAAAAATCAAATACTTCCTCACATTTGTGATATGTTTACAGGTAACCAAAGCAGATTAAGACGAGTTCAGCATTTAATTAGCTAGATTTTGCGTAAGTTAGTCGCCAAAGGCGATAAAATAAATGTGCATTATCTTAGAAGGATTCCATACTACCGCGAGAAGAAATCCTGCTACACCCGTTGTTGGTTGTTTAACGACGACAGCTGTATTGTAGTCCCCGTTTGTTGACTGCGAATACTGTTGTCCTTTATACTTCTTGCTTCACAGCAGTTGACATGCCGCGCATAAATATCAAAGGGGGTGTTTGGAGAAATACGGAGGTAATCATTGCCAGTACTATATTCTGCATGCATATAGGATGAAATCCTTAAGGCTGCGGTGATGAAATATGGGAAAAATCAGTGGGCCCGAATCGCTTCTCTGCTGCATCGTAAAGCAGCCAAGCAGTGCAAAGCCAGGTGGTATGAGTGGTTAGACCCAAGTGTCAAAAAGACAGAGTGGAGTCGTGAAGAAGATGAAAAGCTCCTGCATCTTTCCAAACTCATGCCAACCCAATGGCGTACCATCGCACCGATTGTTGGTCGAACTGCAAATCAGTGTTTGGAGCGATATGAATACCTTCTGTAAGTTGTTTGCCTTTCTCATTTCGATAAGGGACAAAGCACAAAACAGAGAAGGCTTGTCAGCAGAGGAAGACCCGAAACGGCTGCGTCCCGGAGAAATTGATCCTAATCCGGAAACAAAGCCTGCCAGACCTGACCCCATTGATATGGACGAAGATGAACTTGAAATGCTATCCGAAGCACGGGCAAGATTAGCCAACACACAGGTAATACATTGACAACATTTTGTCCTTACCAGTAAATGTTGACTTCCCGTTCATCATTCGACAGCCTTCAGTAAGTTTGAATGGCTGGTGGATGAAGGGTTGAGGCGTCTGCCTAGTTAATCTAGATGTCCACGATTTGTATCTGTGCAGGTGCAGGCAATGTTGTGGCATCCCTCGCCAGCATGCGACTAGTGATGTTCGATTGGTTGACGTTGCAAATCCACTTCCCATGACCGCGACAAGTTTCAAGCGGCTTTTAGACGCCCACGCACGTGACAGGGCCGTAATTTTACTTTGCTCCGGGTCGCGACAATATACGTGCTTCTAGTGCTGAACTGTTGGTCCTGTGGCCAGCATGATACCTCCCTTCTGTTCCCTACAACTCGGTGAACTCGCCGTAGTAAACAGCTGTTGGAGAGAATAACAAGGGCACAAATTTGCTGCTAGAGCATTAGGTAATATAAACACGAAGTAACATTTAGTGGATTTAAGTCTGTAAAAGTCGAGAATAAACTATTATTTACATATTGTATGTTGACTGTAATATTCAGTGAACCGAAGCAGGAAAACCATTAGTTTCCTGATTTCGCTTGACCGATGATTACATACTCGTCAGTTCGGTGACTTCCTCGGACCGTATGCATTAATCCTACGACATTCTCATCCGTTTTTCCACACCGGTTCAAGTTCAGGTGTGACTGGAACTATAGAAGAATCCGGTGCCTGTTCCTTCTTTAGCGGATCTTTGAGTCAGGAATTGGTCAGGCGCTCTGACGACTTGACGGATCTGAAACGAAACACCTGGAGCAAACCCTAGTCAACCAGTTATTGCCCACTAACCCACTGCACTAGCAGTCCCTGCTTTGTCGGTCATGGAAAGAATGAATGTAAAAAACGAAGAAACGTCATTTAGGTGACTATTAATCTCCTTGTGTGAAGCATATCACAAAAATAAGCAACGTATTAAGATGGACAAGGAAGATTTCGTATTGTCACTTAAGGGCGTCCGACAGAGGCTTAACCGTCGCAACGAGACTGGACCTTAACGTGGTGCGATGGTTTGCGTACCTCATTAACCTAATTGGGTGATGCCTCCGAGCATCTTGAGTGCTACTCCTGCCAGGTTGGTCAATGGTGAGAGGTCAGACAAACTCAGTCTCCTGGTCCTCCAGGTTGGGGGTTTGAAATGGGATGGCGTCCATTTCTGTAAAACTAAATCACTGCCACCCCGCTGCCTTGCGAACAGGCTTTTGAGTCAAAGGCTTTGGATGAGGACCCTAATCGTCCTCCTGTCTAGGTCCGGGCGCCCTGGCAGTATCTCAGCCCACATACAACTATGACATTTTCTTCAAACATAAACTTCATCCTGCATCGGCCGTCGTGCAGATTATCAAGGGTCGCCTTATCTGCTGCATACAGCAGGGCGGATAAGCGAAAACATGCTACTGCTGGCGCCTCCCTTCTTTCTTTTCCACCTTTTTCTGTTACTCCCATCCCGGCCCCCATTACTAACCTCCCTTCTATAATTCCCAGTTTACTTGACAGCAACCGAAGTGCTACTGGAGTAGAACCATCTGCAGCCACCATCACACAGCACCTATCGAACGCCTATCGGCAAAAGCTCCTTATAAGGCCACACTGTCCCGTTTCCATGGCGACATTCAACGTCCGCACTCTAAGACAAACAGGTCAGCAGGCTGCACTCGCACGCACCTTGGACACACTGGGTGTTGATGTGTGTTGTGTGTCCGAAACTAGGATTAATGACCCTAACGGGGTTATTGCATTGACTGAACCGGGCTTATCCTCTCGTTATTGGTTGAACGCATCCGGAGACGCCGATGCGGCACTCACGGGTCAAGCTGGTGTAGCTATCATTCTCAGCTCCAAGGGAGTCATCGTTAGTTGATTGGATTCCGGTGAACAGCCGTTTATGTGCAGCCCGTTTAACGACATCAGCTATGGTGAATTCGCGAAGTAGTGCAAAACGCCGTTTGTTTGTGATTTTCGTTTATGCTCCCACCGACTGCAGTTCTTATGCAGTCAAGGACACTTTCTATCACGAACTGAACGCCCTATTACGCAGTGCTACTAGTTCAGATATTATAGTACTTGCAGGGGATATGAACGCACAAGTAGGGCGTCTGAGCTCTTCAGAAGCTCAGCTGGGTGGTAAGTATGGACTTAACTCCGAACGGACTGACAACGGCGAGCGTCTGCTGCAACTGTGTGCGGAGCACCAGTTGTTTCTTAGTAGCACTGCTTTTAGACATAGTGGGCGCCGAAGTGCCACTTAGCGTCCACCTGTAGCTGGCCAGCGATGGACCCAAATTGACCACATAGCCATAAGTTACTGGTGGCGCGGTTCCATTCTGGATTGCCGCTCGTACTGGAGTACCTGTGTCGACTCGGATCATGCCCTGATGCGCTGTCGTTTCTCCATGAACTTTACCGGAAGGCGCACAAAGCGTCTCCTCCGATTGGTAACGGAGAAATTGTCCCAGCCCTCGGTCAGGCAAGCCTATCAAGAAGCATTGCATACCGAACTCTCGCTATCTTGTCCTAATGACACTGAACTTCAGTGGAATAGGATCTCGGCCGCCATGCACGACGCAGGAGCATCTGTTTGTGTACTATCAGTCGTCACCGCACCAGTCACTGGATATCCGAGAGGTCCATGAACCTTTTGGAAGCTAGAAGGCACCTCCCGGCTGGCTCTGAACACAATGTGACCAGACGGGCTATTAGACGTGAACTAAAGCCGAACCTGCGTGCTGACAAGGAAGCCTGGTGGACCAGTCGGGCTCAAGAAATGGAGGAGGCAGGAGCAGTAGGCAATTACCGCAAGCTCTTCCAGCTGATCCGCACCACTGGTCCCAGAAAACCAGGCGTCAGTGAGACAATCAGGGACAGCGCGGGTGCACTGATACACAATAAGGAGCGCCGTATGGCTCGTTGGGCTGAACACTTTTAAGATCAGTTCAGCTGCTCCCGGACCTCTTCCTACTCAGGTGATGCAGGACGTGCCATGGACGGTTAGTTTAGAGCCTCCGTCGGAGGCCGAGGTTTGAAACGCGGTCACAGCCCTCAATCGTTTTCGTGCCGCTGGCCCCGATTCCCTCCCACCTGCACTATTTAAGGATGGAGGTGAGGTCCTCTGCAGGGCACTGACCTCCCTATTCGAACGTATCTGGAACGAAGAGTGTGCCGGCTAATTGGAGCGAACCGATTATAGTGGCAATGTACAAAAAGGGCAGCCGCACAGAGTGTTCTTACCATACGGGTATTAGCCTAACTCTAATTGTGACAAAATTACTGGCCTCGATTATCGTTCGTCGCCTCACTGCGGAACGGGAATCTCGGATTAGGGAAGAGCAGGCCGGTTTTCGACCAGGACGTGGCTGCATAGACCATATATTCACTTTGCGGCAGGTGCTAGAGCAGCGCCACGCATACCGTAGACCGACAATAGCTGTGTTCCTCGATTTCAAGAGTGCGTTCGGTTCGGTCGATCGATCGATTCTGCTCGAATTACTTACGCGAAAAGGTTCCCACGAAGTATGTGAACATCCTTCGTGCTCTATACTGGAACACTACAGGCCGCGTCAGGGTCTATGGTGTCCTATCGGATAGCTTTTTGATCACAAGTGGCGTTCGTCAGAGTTGTCCAATTTCCCCGTTTTTGTTCAATTTCGTCGTGGATTCTATCATCGAGTGTTCCCTTGCCGAATCCCACGATGTAGGCGTTGAAGTGCTGCCTGGTGAAAGGTTAGTTGATCTAGATTATGCGGACGATATCGTCTTGCTTTTCGACGATTTTGCTGCGGCACAATCAACCCTGAATAGCCTGTCCAGAGTGGTCCCATTATTTGGTATGCACTTCGCACCTTCAAAGTGCAAAGTGTTGCTGCAGGACTACCAGCCACTTGATGACCCCTTGACGCTTGCTAACGAGGAACTCGAGGTGGTTGATCATTTCACTTATCTTGGCAGCTGCATCAGCAATGATGGGCGCATAGAAACTGACGTCAGCTCACGCATTGCAAAGGCCAGAGCTGCCTTCTTGAACCTGCGTCATCTTTGGCGACAGAAGAGAGTTTCCCTCTGTCTGAAATGCCGTGTATACAAGGCCACAGTGAGGGCCGTTCTGCTCTATGGTAGTGAAACTTGGCCCCTTCGGTCTGAAGATCTGAGGCGCCTCCAAATATTTGCTCATCGTTGTTTGCGAAGCATTGCTGGTGTCGGATGGCACCAGCGTGTCCGCAACGATGATGTGCGTAGGCGAGTACTAGGTAGGGATAATCATGCTAGCACCCTAGAACAACAGATAGCACCGAATAAGTTGCGTTGGCTCGGGCACGTGCTACGCATGCCTGGTCACCGCTTACCTAGGAGGGCCTTGTTCAGTCTACCAGGTGTAGGATGGCGCAAGGCTCAAGGTGGACAGAAGTTGACTTGACAGCGGGAAATGAAGTCACTGGCAACCAAACTGGGTGCCGTTGGTCCGTCTCGCCTTCCGGGTTGGAGTCCACGTGACTCACCTTGTGCTTGACTCGAGACTTTGCAGGATATGGCTCGCAACCGACACCAGTGGCGCGTCTGCTGCCGTCTTCTAATCGGATTGCCTGTTTAAAGTATGTTTGGTGCTGAGTTATCTGCGGGGTAATGGCTGATTATGACGCGGGGCAGTGAAAGCCGCAAGGAAGCTGTCTCGCCGATGCCGCTTTATCTTTGCACGATAGCCAGCTGTTTGTGACGGTATGTTGTCTAGACAAGGTGTAGGCGCCTTGACCCTGAATGTTTGCTTATGGCATTAAGGTTTTCAGGTAAGTCCCTCTTTCTCTCCCTTTTCTTATTCTTTACTTCATAGGTCCTCATGGTTGTATGGCAGCGAAGCATCAGTTCAAATGGCTGATGTACTGCTGTTGTTTATGATGATGATGACAGAGGCTTAAAACCGTTAACCATAGGTTTACTAACCACAGTTTCTGCAAGTGAGC